CCCCCCCTCACCGGCGCTCCTCCAGCTCACCGCCTCTCCTTCTGTCATCCTTCTCTCCCAACTGCTGGAAACACCACGCTCGAACCCATCATCCTGCCGGAAAGTTAGTCCTACTTTGCGGGAAACCAAACAAACACAGCCAATCTGAACAGAATCTCATCTACTCTTCAAGGGCTGGGATGTATGCGGGGTGTGAGCGAGGGGGAACAGCAGGAAGACAATGGGGAACTCTCTAATATTCTCTTTATAATTACCACTTACTAGCCCACAGCTCCTGTGCTGTGTCAGGTACACCGGATAACTGGGTAAAGAAAAGCCTTATTCATAAGTCAAACATCCATACCAGGATTAGCTCCAAGATTCCACCACCAGCTTCCTTCGCTGTCCCTTCCGACATCCGCTGCCGCTGAACGTCTGTTACCACAGTCACAGACCCACCCAGTCCAAGCAAGAACACTCAGCGGGTACCTAAGACCTTCAGGAACGGGTGTAGGCCCTACAAAAAGTCAGCACGACTAACTAAGGCGTTTATGGCCTTCTGAACATCAGCCAGGAAGGACGGGGAGCAAGGAAGGACGGGGAGCAAGGAAGGACGGGGAGCAAGGAAGGACGGGGAGCCAGGAAGGCCTCCTGCTTCGGTATTCACGCCCGGGGAGGGGGGGCACCCAAACCACTCTACCCATTGTCTCTCCGAAACAAACAGGGTAAAAATGCAAGTCGTCGTGGATAAAAGCTGTTTAAGGAAAAAAAGACTGACTACAGTTATCATATGGAAAGTGGGTACAATTAAAAGTAGGAGAAAAAAAATGACAAATGTACGTCACCTGACTGCGGCAGGCTGAGGATCCCCGGGTCACCCCCGCATAGACCTGACGCTCTCGAGTCAGCAAACCTGTGGGGGGGGGGACACGCCGTACAGGCATGGAGCCCACGGTTTACCTCGGCCGGGCGGCGTGATCCAGTGGGGGGGGGGGAAGCTTATGGGGGCCGCATCTCAGTGCTGTTAATCCGTGTGCGAACCCACGGACGCCAGTGGTTTGCACTGCACCTCTCCACACCTGCTCCCACACATTCACACCTGCCACGCTTCAAGGTTATATATAGGGGTGCTGCAGTGAGACAGACACTGCGGCTTCTCCATAGCAGGTAGGCCTCAGTCAATGGGGGGCGCTTTTATTACCAGCGTGACCACGGGCGCGCACGCAGCACACGCACACACCAGAGGAGCCGAGCTCGGGTTATTCATCAGAACTGATTGCAGCAGATGTATCGGACTCCTGGTCTGAAAGGCTTTAAACCGCGGCCGCTCGGCTGCAGAGGGAAACACAGACCGGCACATTTAACGCTGGTCGGGAGGGAAGGTGAAAGGCGGTAATGGACAGAAAGCTCCCGCGGACTTTCAGAACACCACAGACGGCGTTTAAACCTCCGAGATCAAATGGGAGGCGGAATCGGAGCAGACTGAACGCCCCCAACCCCCCCCCCCAACAAGCTCAAACCTCACACGAACTTAGCTCTTTCTTCCCTGGGACTGGTGCACGTGCAAGAGCCCACGGCAAGGTATGATCCGATCGAGGAACGACA